GAGGGGGGAAGGAGAGGGGAGCGAAAGACGAGGAGAAACAAGAAGGAGGACGAAGAGGCAGGACACGAGGGGAAGAGAGAGAGGGAGAGAGATAATGACAGCAAGAGAGAAGATGGAGGGAAAGGGGAGAATGAGCAGCAGAAAGAGAAAGAGAAAGAGAGAGAGAGAGAGAGAGAGAAAGAAAAAGAACTGGAGGAAATGGATGGGGGGGATGGGACATAAACCAAAAAACACGGCCAGGTTGCATCAAATATGCAATAGCACAACCTCCATCCTCACAAGTCCCGGCAAGTGCAACTTTTCACCACGAGGGGTTCTGTTGAAATGAGTGCCTCGTGGGCCCATCTTTGAGGGGACAACCCCATTTTGAGAAGGTACAGTCGTCCATCCGTGTAGTTGCACAAATACACAAAGACAGAGCGGTAAGAGCATTAACTTCGATGGCGTGTGCAGCGGGAGCCCTAGCATTTGGGAAGGGCACCACCCGCCGCTGTGGAACTGTTGCACATCTTCTAGTGCCGCGCCGTGGAAGATGAGAAAGCCTCGACCGAGAGCCCCACGTCGAGCACGGAACGCACTCCCTGCAAATACCTGTGCACACTTTTCAACTGACATGGCAGGGGGTCTCAAGCGGCAACTCCATGTTGAAAAGAAGCAGACGCCCACCCGTGAAGGTGTTGCAAAGAAATCAGGCGACTGTGCGCGATGCTAACACTCAAACCGCATGTTGCAGAGGACCGTACCTCGATCCGCGCAGCTGCTCACTATTGAAACGGCTGCGCGCGGCGCGAAGACCAGAATCGCAAGTTGACAACAATCCGCCCTTCAGATGTGCACCGTAGAACAATAAAGCGTTGCCGCCAGAGATTGTGAAGGGGTCTCGAGCGAGACCCCCTATTCTGAGACGCAGCCAGGCTCCATCCAGCCAACTGTTTTAAAAAAGCGAACGAGTGTGCACGGAGCTACGACGACACCGACCTGTTGTCAGCCGCCCCGCCTCCAGTCGTGCAAATGCCGAGCACGTATGAACACGGTAGTTCGCGGCACTATGGCGAGACACAACGTGCTGAAACCAATCGGTCATCAATGCGCTTTAGGGTCGCCATCTATACTTGGCATCATAAATTGCGAAGGTGTCCAGAGCGAAACGTACAAGCTCTTATGGGCAAGCGTGCTGACGGAGAGGAGCGGGAGAAGGATTAACAGACTGGATGAGGGCAGGAGGAGCAGGAGGAAGAGAAGGGAGGAGGAGGAGGAGGTGGAGGAGAAGGACATCACTATTGACGGAGAACTGGTGACGGAGGGATGAGGGGAAATAGTAGAGGAGGAAGATGAGGATGGGGCGGGTTCTCAGGGGGAGAAATACTGGTGCCACCTTGCAGGTGGCAACCAACGCAGTCTAACAATAGTAGATCCTCGATTCTCCTCGACCCTCGACCATGCTCGATCATCATTCTCGACCCGTTCTGGCAACACTGGAAGCTACAAGCCCAAGCGTTAGAACTCCGCGGTCCTCCTTCTCTCTCACCTCCGCCTTCTGGGACTCCAGCGCGAGGAACGGAGGCCGCAGCATGAGCGGATGGTTCCAGGGAAGGGGCGTCGCACGTGCACTGCCAGGCTCATACTCATCCTCTTCCTCATCCTGGTATTCACGCTTCTCCTCCTCCTCCCCCCAGCGGTCACCGAACTGATCGTTATCCACTTTAAGCGTTTGCTTCTACGCCCCATCCCCCCTCATCATTTCAAAAGTCCGAATTCCTTGTCCTGCTCTTGCTACTCCTGCTTCTCCTAAGGCTACGGCGAATACTGCGAAGAAGACGACGACGGCGACCACGACGACGACGACGACGACGACGACGACGACGACGACGACGACGACGACGACTACTACTACTACTACTTGAACTTCAACTTCTACTTCTACTCCTTCTACTACTACTACTACTACTACTACTACTACTACTACTACTACGACTACTACTACTATTACTACTGCTACTACGACGACGACGACGACGACTACAACTACTAATACTACTACTACTACTCCTACTACTACTACTACTCCTACTCCTACCCCTACTACTGATACTGGTACTACTACTACGACGACTACTACTACTATTACTACCACTACTGCTACTACTGCTACTACTGCTACTACTACTACCGCTACTACTACTACTACTACTACTACTACTACTACTACTACTACTACTACTACTACTACTACTACTACTACTACTTACTACTACTACTACTACTACTACTACTACTACTACTACTACTACTACTACTACTACTACTACTACTACTACTACTACTACTACTACTACTACTACTACTACTACTACTACTACTACTACTACTACTACTACTACTACTACTACTACTACTACTACTACCTACTACTACTACTACTACTACTACTACTACTACTACTACTACTACTACTACTACTACTACTACTACTACTACTACTACTACTACTACTACTACTACTACTACTACTACTACTACTACTACTACTACTACTACTACTACTACTACTACTACTACTACTACTACTACTACTACTAACTACTACTACTTACTACTACTTACTACTACTTACTACTACTTACTACTTACTACTACTACTACTACTACTACTACTACTACTACTACTACTACTACTACTACTACTACTACTACTACTACTACTACGACGACGACGACGACGACGACGACGACGACGACGACGACGACTACTACTACTACTACTACTACTACTACTACTACTACTACTACTACTACTACTACTACTACTACTACTACCACGACTACTACTACCACGAGTACTACTACTACTACTACTACTACCACTACTACTACTACTACTACTACTACTACTACTACTACTACTACTACTACTACTACGGCGACTACGACGACTACGACGACTACGACGACTACGGCGACTACGTCTACTATATTGCTACCACTTCTACGATTAGTACTTAGAGTACTGCCATGACGACTACCACTTGACGAAGACGACGACGACGGCAGTATCCACCCCCGAAGGGCGCCAACCAACATGCAAATGTCCGCATCCTTCCCGCCCACACATACTCCTCGCACTTACCGTCCCCGTCGTTGTCCTCTTCGCCGTTGCCGTCATCCTCCCTCTGCTCCTCCCTAAACTCCTGCTCCTCTCCCTCCTCCTCCTCCTCATCCTACTTATCCTTCCCCTCCGTCTCCTTTCCCTGCGGCAACTGCCCCTCCTGCTCTCCCAATTTCGCTTCACTCTTCATCATCATCCTGCCGCCTATCCTCGTCACTGTCCAATTCATCCTCGTCGTCTTGCTCCCCTTCTTTTCGAACCTCTTTCCTCGTCCTCCCCGCCCTCCCTTTCGGCGGAGTCGTCCTTCCCTTCCTGTCTCTCCCTCTCCTCCCCCTCCTGCGCCCTCCGCCTCTTCCCCCTCCGCGTCCGACCCGCCACTGCTGCAGCCTCCGGGGAAGGCGTAGATGACGGGCAACGACAGGCCCGCCGCGGTCCCGATCGGGTTGAAGCCTCCGGTGCTCTCGGTGCCAATGTCCGCCAGGGCCCTGCCCGGTCCGCTGGCGCGGACGCCCGCCGCTCCCCAGGATGGCAGTGGGGGCGGGGAGGGGGCGGAGAGTGGGGCGAGGGGGTGGCCCCCCGCCTCGCCCCATTCTCCGCCCTCGCCCTTCTCTCCGCCCTCCGCCGGGGGTGCGAGGATGAGAGCAGGGGGAGGCAGAGGAGAGGGGCAGGAGGGGTGGGGGTGGGGCAGAGGCAAGGGAGGGAGGGGGAAGGAGGGCGGGGGAACGACGACGACGACGATGACGACGGCGACGCCGACGACGCCGACGACGATGACGACGACGGCGACGCGACCGCGACCGCGACGACGACGACGACGACGAGGGCCCGCAGGGCGCCACCGCCGCGGCCAGCGCGGCCGCCTCCCAGCGGGGCGGCGGCGCCCGCCGGTGCCACAGCCGCGGTGCGCTGAGGAAGGCCGAGGGCGACGCCAGGACCAAGGGGGGGAGGAGGGACCATTGAGGAGGAGGAGCAGGAGCAGGAGCAGGAGCAGGAGCAGGATGATGATGATGATGATGATGATGATGATGATGATGATGATGATGATGATGATGATGCTGATGATGATGATGCTGATGCTGATGATGATGATGATGATGATGCTGATGATGATGATGATGATGATGATGATGATGATGATGATGATGATGAGGTGGAGAATGAGGAGGATGAGGAGGAGCAGGAGGAGGAGGCCCGGAGATCCGACGCCTTTAAAAACAAACGACCAGTGCTTGGTCTTTTTCGACCTATAGGCGCCCCCGCCAGGCCTTCGGGCCGTCAAAAAAACGCCTCAGGACGAAAAGCCGGCCCTTGGGAATTGGTCCAGACCTCTGGGGCCCAGGCATCGAGGAAAGTGGAGCGGCCGGATGTCTGGGGGGGGAATGAGGAGGAGGAGGACGAGAAGGAGGAGGATGATGAGAAGGAGGAAGAGGGGAGGGAGGAGAGGGAGGAGGAGGAGGGGGGAGGAGGGAGAAGGAGGAAGAGGAGGACGATGAGAGAGAGGAGGAGGAGGGGGACAAGGAGGCGGAGGAGGAGGAGGGAGGAGGAGGAGGGAGGAGGAGGAGGAGGAGGAGGAGGAGGAGGAGGAGGAGGAGGAGGAGGAGGAGAGAGGAGGAGGAGGAGAAGGAGGACGAGGAGAACGAGGAGGAGGAGGAGGAAGCGGAGGAGGAGGAGGAGGAGGGAGGAGGAAAACCCGTACCAGATTATTATTGGTGTGGGGCGTACGTGTAAGGCTTTGGGGAGTGGAGGTTTCTTACAAAGGTACTACAGCTGCCCTCGGTTCAACCAGGCGGGGGCGCCTACTCTGCGTTCCCAGCTTTGCCGCACTTCTCTTTTTACTCATCGCGCGGCGCCCGTCAGGTACTGCGCTAAGCCGGACACCTATTTCTTCTTTTTTCCTGCAAGAGCGCTTCAGCCACGTAGCCAAATCCTGAGCAACGTCAAAAATGAGGAGGTGGTGGAGGAGGAGGAGGAGGAGATAAAAGGGCGAGGAAGCAGAGGAGGAGGAGGAGGAGGAAGAGGAGGAGGAGTCAGGAAGCGGAGGAGAAGAGCAGGAAGTTGGCCGAGAGAGAGAGCAGGGAGGAGAAGCAGTAAGCAGGCAGAAGGGGGGGGAGGACAACGACGAGCACAGGGACAACGACGAGGACGACTGAGCTTGGGGGAACCAGCTCTGGAGGGAAACGGACCCTGGACCCTGGTGCCTTGCCCCAAGACAGGTTTTTCGTCCTGAACCGTTTTGTGTCGCCCGAAAGCGGCGAAACACCTCAGGACCCGTTTCCTTCAGGACCCGCTTCCCCCACGGCGAAAAACGAGGGCGAGGGGGAGGAGGAGGAGGAGGAGGAGGAGGAGGAGGAGGAGGAGGAGGAGGAGGGAGGAGGAGGAGGAGGAGGAGGAGGAGGAGGAGGGACGACGACGACGACGACGACGACGACGACGACGACGACGACGACGAGGCAAAGGGGAGCGCCAGCACCACGGCGGCGGCCGCGGCCCACAGCGCCCGCAGGGCGCCGCGGCGGCCCCGCGGCAACATGGGGCGTCGCGCGGCCGAGGCCCAGCGAACGGGGGACCCCCCGAGCCGAGGTGACCACCTCCTGGTCCGCATCCGCGTGCTCCTCCTCCTCCTCCTCCTCCTGCTCCTCCTCCTCCTCCTCCTGCTCCTCCTCCTCTCCTCTCCCTCGCCCTCTCGCCCTCTGCCTCGCCTTCTCCTCTGCTCCTGCTCTGCTCCTGCTCCTCCTCCTCCCTCCTCCTCCTCCTCCTCCTCCTCCTCCTCCTCTTCCTCCCTCGTCCTCATCCTCCCTCGTCCTCGCCGCTGCCGCCGCCGCTCTTCCCCCCCCTCCCCCACTCCTCCTCCCCCTTTCTGACCGCTCGCTGGAGCGCTCGGTGCAAACACTCCTACCTGGTCGTCGTCGTCGTCGTCGTCGTCGTCGTCGTCGTCGTCGTCGTCCTTCTCCTCCTCCTCCTCCTCCTCCTCCTCAAGACTTCAAGACTCAAAAGGTCAAGACGAGCAGAACACTAAAGCACGCTAAAGTGGGCACAGCTCAAATCCGACCGAAAGAGAGAGAGAGAGAGAGAGAGAGAGAGAGAGAGAGAGAGAGAGAAAAGGAGAAAGGAGAAAAGGAAATGCGGGGAGGTACTCTCTCCCTCCATGCCCCTCCCTGCCCAGCAGCTGGTATCAGCTGGCCGAACGTGTTGGCCACGTTGTAGGGCAGGGGGGAGGAGGGGAGGCGGGACCCTTCTACCCCATCTGATTGCTCCTCAATCCTCATACCCCTCATGACGTGTGGGTCCCTTTTATAATCAAAAATCCCAGCAGCACTGACTGGACGAGTTGGCACCAACGCCTAGGAGGACCTGGTCTACTCCTAATTTGTAGGGCGAGTACTGTTATAGAAGAAAGGAGACCCTTATAAACTCTTATATAGACCCTTATTCTTACTCGCCCTACGCTGCCTAACTGGGCAGCCCTCATTCCACGTCAGAACTGCTGGATACGCCAAGGTCCCTCAGCTTGCACTTGAGGTGGCGCACATATTCCTGGACCTTAGACAGGTTGGCTTTCAAAATCTTAACTTGGTCAATCTTGAGCTTGCGCTTGGCCTTACCCTTGCCCTTGCTCTTCTTCAAGAGGTGGGCCGGGGGCGGCTCCCGTGGGAGCGGTGCTTTAGCGCTCCCACTCCCACTCGAGACCTTAGGCCTAAGGTACGGCTCAGGACCATAGAAGCCGTATTCTCCCGGCTTGGTCCCGATGGGTCTCGGCGCCAAGCTGCTGCTGCTGCTGCTGCTGGGCTTAGGCCTGGGCTTGGGCTTGGGCTTGGGCAGCGTGGGCTTGCACTTCGGCATCTTCTTGGCCACAGGCTCCATTGCCCTCGCTCGCCCTCCAAGCCAAAGTCCCTAGTTTGATAGAAAGGCTACTTATGGACAGTGTTGTGTGTCTGCCCTGCCACTGCTGATTCTGCTACGGGGTGGGGGGGAGGGCCTCCTCCTCCACCACACGCGCACGCAACAAACAGCACACACACGCACACAAAAACCCCCACGCACACATTCTCCTCCTCCCCCAGCCTGCTGCCAGAGCAGCTTCGAGGTCGCGGAGGCATCCCTTCCCCATAACCAACAGCGCCGCAGGCATAGGGGCAAGGCAGGAACAGCAGCAGCAACACAACAAGAGTGCCCCCCCTTCCCCCTCCCCAAGAGAGTCTGGTCCCCCATAGGGCCTGGCATGGCTGACAGTGCGTTGCTGCAGTCAGTGCTAATGTTAAGACCTCAATGTCAGCCATCACCATTGGTCCCCAAGGGCATTCCCAGGCGACAAATCCTAGGAGGGGTGGGGCCACGTCGTGATAAACCATATAACACCAGACAATAGCAACTCCTAAACTGGGCCTACATCTTCAAAATGGAGAGCGGTTGCTGGTACCTGTCCACGGCGGAGCTTGCGGAGCTCCGAGGAAACTTTATTGTCACACGGCTTCATGAGCTTCTTGCCCAACTTTGAGCCAGTTGCAAAAGCCCCGCAACGGACACAAAACAGTATAGGCAAACGGGACCCTACTATCCAACCCACCTGTAATGCATGTTGCAAGGGCCTCGCAGTCTCAAGAGTGTTCCTGAGCGCTACAGGCTGTGCCCTGCAAGGTTTGGTGGATTTGGGCCCTACCGCCGCAAAGCATCGTATACATCTGAAACTCGCTCCAGTCCAATGTGGCTGGTGATAGTCCACAAAGGGCCTCGGTGTTCGAGGTGCCGATACTTTGGTTAAACTCCCATATAGCTCTTCCCTGTGGGGCCAAAGGTCTAGCATGCGCCCTACTCCTCTCAGAAGGTTGGTGTAGAGCTCTACGCTGGCGTCATGCTCTTCTATAATGCCAGGGTCAAGGTCATGGCTGGCTGCCGCCTGGCCTGCATGCCAGTCCGCTGCCTTGTTGCCCTGTATTAGGAACCGCTCCTGATCTGTAGTGGCTTCAGAGGTGCTCCTGTGGGCTTTTACCTTTTGGAGCTCTGGCCAATGCTGGGGTTCCACTGTGCGAGCAATGGCCCGCCAGAACCCAGCAAATTGATTAGTGCCTGTTAGCACTCTGATGGGGTCTTGGCCTTTGAAAAGTCCAGAGTAGTCGGCGATAATGGGAGCCGTCCTTGGGTAGTCTGAGAAAGCTACTGCTAGACCTAGCCCACCGTGCTCGGCGTGCCCCGAATTCTGGGGGTAGAAGCCAGGCAGCGGGGCCCTAATTGCTCGAAGGAGGGCCCCCTCCTGGTTGAGCTGCACAGCTGCACATCCTCCCCTGGCAACCCCAGGTAAGGTTGGGTGGAGACCACTTCCATCTATAAAAATCGGGAGGTCTCCTGCGAAGTTGCCAGGTGGGCATCTTCCCCTTTCGTTAAAATGTATCACGTCCCAATCTCCTATGGGACTCTCTAGTTCTTGCCTGGGTGCCCATAGCCTGCTGAAAAAAGGGTCCTCAGGCCCCTGGGCCAGGGCATTGGTTTGAAAGTCTTCTAAATATTCATCCCTAGCTTCTTGAAAGAATGGGCACTCCCATATGCGATGGTATGCCGTGTCCAACTTATGGCAATATGGGCATATCCCGTCTGTTTCAAAACCCCAAGCTTGAAGCTTGGATCCC